CACTGTACGAAAGCCTGTACAGTGGGGGCCCCGGCTGAACGATCCCCCGTGACAAGCCGACTGAGGGGTCGCTAAATCTAGACGGGTCGCTACGGTCCCCCGGTGCTTTAAGCACTTCAGCAGAACGCAGTTTACCCGTAGTTTAAGTCCTGCAAGGCCTCCAAGGCAGCGATGCCAGTGTAGGGGGTACCCTGGCTACCGGTATAGGGGGCACCCTGGCCGCCAGTGTAGGGGGTACCTTTGGGCCGCCGGTGTAGGCGGCACCCTAGCCGCCGGGGTAGGGGGTACCCTGGCTGCCGGTACAAGGGGTACCCCGGACTTAGTCGCAGGGCCGAAGTCGCGGGCGCTGGGGCCTGTCGCAGGGAAAGAAAATACTACGGGAACGCTGACAAGTTGTTCAGGGGGTCGCTAAGCCTAGACAGGTCGCCAGACAGGTCGCTAAACAGGGGTCGCTAAACAGGCCCCCCTTGTATAAGTCTATTGATGCATGTTCACCGAATGTTGTGCACCATCCCAATGTACTGGCCGTCCACAGCAGGTGCAACAACAAACTGCATGTCCTTTACTTCAGATCAGGCCACTGCCGTACCCACTACCCAAACATCCTTGTTGCCCCCCAGGCCGATTGCTGCTCGCCGCGGTAGACGGTCGCAGCGCGAACGTGTTGATGGAGCCCCTTGCCGCCGATGCGCACGGGGGCACGGGTGCTCGCCTGCCGCTGGGTGGCTGAAGGTTTGGAAGCAAGGTGGTGAGTACCGCTGCATGCATAGCACTGCATCCTCCGTCCTCAATCACCCTACCTTTGACTAGCCTCCTCTTCGGTTGGCAGCAGAAGGCGCCACTAATTTTTGCGGACGTTGCGCATACCCGCGTTTGACTGCGGCGCTACAAACTGCCCGTTGATTTCTGTTTCAAGTGATCCGGGTCGGATGAAAACGAACTTTTTGGGCGCCTGCTCTTTGCCCTGGGCGCTTGTTCATCAACCCGAGGTTTTCGATAATTTGGGGCTGCACTTAAACATCTGTGGACTGTGTTGGATAGGTGGCCTCAGGGAAAAAGAGCAGCAGCTCTTCCGCATGACGGCGGCGCAGCCTGGATGGCCTACTGGGAATTGCCTACAATCCTCACTGATTGCGGTTGTCGAAACATGACGGTTCGCTGGCCTCTCAACAGTTGGGCGACTCTGCGGCCACGGCGGATCGACAGGTGCGCTTTTGCCTGTGGCGACAGCCGGGTTGAGTGTCAGAGGTGGAACCCCAAGCATAGCAGGATGTTGTATGGCGTTTCCTTTCAGTGTTTTCGTCCCCCACGTGGTGACAGACAACTAGAGAGTTGACCACACAAGTTATCCCACACAGTCTGGTTTTGCAGTCTTTATGGGGAGGAGATCTGTTCATCTTCAGAGAGCAGGCTATTGTGGGATGTTGCTTGAGCTGTGGGCCCTGAGTCTCTGGCAATGAGCCCTGACTTGTTTGTTACAACCTGATGCCAATTGTAAAGCTGAGTTGTGGCCTTTGTGGTTGTTGCGGATTGGTGTTGAGATTGTTCATGATCTGGAACAGATGCACACCATTTTCTTTGGAATTTGCGCAAGTAAATTACTTCAGGCCTTACATTGTGTCCTTGGAGTTTGTCACATACAGCTGTGCTTCAATGAATTGGCAAATGATGAACAAACCAGTTCCTCTATTTTGAGCTCTTTTGTGAGGATCTCACTGTGACCGAGCTCTGATGCTGTGAGTGTCGTGGCCACATGTCTGCGTACTGTTCCCTCTTGGGGTGCGATGCGCAAGCCAAGTCATGCACCCTGTTTCTGACCAATCAATATCAAATGAAAAGCGTACAGTGTCCATGCAGTGCCTGGAGGCCCATGCAACCTACCGGCTGTGTACCAGCTGTGTTGCATCGACTGAGGGACCTTGCGAAGTCTCACTTCCAGCATGCTCCTGATAGTTCCCACTGTCCATCCAGCAGATGATGACTATCAGTTGTGAGGTTCCTCTGATTCGTTGTGATGCAGCCAACTGATTCGATTGTCTGATGCTGTGTTGGCCACCAAATAGCATTGTAGTGGTTGTCACCAGTTTTGATTTTTATTTAGTTGAATTTTACTTCCTCTCTCAAATTAAGTGAAACAATTTGTTTGGGAGGTCATATTTGTACCATGTACTTATTATTTTCCCCTGAAAACTGGGCCAGAGAACTAACCACGAATCAATTGTATGCTATCATGCTATCATGTTCCCAGCAAGTGTGCATGTTGTTGCCAGTTGGCTGCCCGGCAGATGACGACTTGTTAGCGAGCCTCCTCTGATTTGTTGAGCCAATGATGCTGCAAATCAAACACATCTGCACAATTCTGATGCCGTGGTGTTGTGTGCCAACATTCAGCATAATGCATATGCTGGGCATTTCCATTGGTTTTGCTGCATTTGCGATAGGTGTAGGCTGCTGCTGCCCGCATTTATCTGGCACCAGAACTCTTCCATCTGATGTCAAAGCTTTGAATCAGTCAAGAGGAGAATAACAACATCCTTCTTACATCTTGTTGCAAGATGTCAGTCCATGTAATATCTTACGATATGATATCATAAATTATGACATCTCATCATGTCTTATGTTTGCAGGTCCAGATGCACTGATTTTGCATGGTTTTGCAGCCCACATTGAAGAAGCGAAGGGTGTGGATGGGTGGCAGGCAGCTCTTGGCGATCATGAGTGCCTCTGAAAGGCAGAGCAAGGCAGCAGATGCTTTCCCAGCTGGAATGCAGGATGTCAGAAAAATGAAGAGAGGAGGACCCTGAAGGCAGTGGTGTACATTGGTCCTGAGCTGGAAGTGACAAGAGTATGAATTGTGCTGATGATGGCCGTTGGTTGCTGAGGAAGATGATGTGGATCTGGGGAGCGAACATGGGCTGACAGCAGATCTCAGCGCCACAGTGACAGGCACATGGAAATGAAAGAGTTGCTGAGTGTAAGGACATGCCTCGTTAAGGAAAAAGCGATAGCGAATGTTGGAGATCGTGACAAAAGATGTGTGAGCAAAAGTGGTACTTGTCATGATGGCAAAATAAATCAGATGTCCCCTATTGTGCCTGCTGCATAACTGCTATGGTTATCTTTTGGGGAGGCAAACAACTAGAAAGTGTGTATAGGATGGTGTTTCTCGTTGTTTTTCAGTTCGCACAGCCTGTCAACACTGGAAAGCGTATTTTGCCACCTCCATGTCAACAGATCTTCAAATAAATCCGCAAGCAGGCAACCCATCACCTGAAAGACAGAGAGTGTGAGGATGGGTATGTGACAGTTCAGGCCACATGCAGCCTACATCCTAGTGTTCCACTGTTTCACAGGCAACAATTGAATTGTGAAGAAGCCATCAGCTTGTAACTTCGTGTCTATGTCTCAGCCGATGCAGGGGCACTGACTGAGGATCTGCTGCCCAAGGCGGCCTCTGCGCTCTGCTCTACTATATTGAACAAGGAGGGAAAATCACGCTCCTGCTGTTCCTTTGGCTGCACGTGGCCAAAAACACGTATGGCAAAGCTCTTTCTTCACTCACTGGCACAATACCCACCACCAAATGTTGCTGATCCCACAGACAAGGATATGGCTGCACCATCCTCGTCTGCACCAATTACATGTCTACTGTGGTGCCAGCAGCGCCGCACTTTCCAGGTATGATAAACTCCCAAGATGTAGCGTCAGAAGACGAACTCGAGCCTTGATGGAAGGCAGCTGTTCTGAAGAAGGCGGGTTCCAGTCCGGACACAATGGTGTGAAACCCTTGTGGGACTGGACAAATGCAAATTTTAACAAACCCTGTGGGACAAACTGTGGTGTGCGCGCCCAACAACAACTGGACGGCTGGCAGGCGGGCAAACACGCGTAGCTGTGGGTTTACGACGGGTGGCCCGTGAGTGTTGAGAAACTGGTGGAGCATTGTGATCAATATGGCCAAATGTGTCCGCAGTGTCTCGGTGAGCACACTCGGTCGTCCGCGGAATTTAGATCGACGTCTGCTGCAGCTGTCACCCATTCAATGCCAACCCCGCATTCAATGCAAACCTGCATTGACTGCACTGAATGCATTGAATGCAAACCTGCACAGCTGGTGTGTGCAGCGACCATGCACCGAGCTTGCAACCCCTCACCACGCTGCCCATGTCGGGTCCCCTACCAAACGTGTCGCCTGGATTTTGGGAGCGGGGAAAGTCCTCACGGCCAGAATACATGCGCTCCGTGCCTGGGATACGGAAGCCCCACATCCACGATATTCACACCCCTCGGCTATTTCTTTTCCAATATCCAGGGGCATGAAAAATTGCCTAATCGACAGTGTATCGGTCCCTCTGTCTTTTCCGGGACGATCCTTTCTTCCGCTGACAAGGCCAACGCGGGTAAGTGGGTCAGTGGGTCAGTGGTTTTAGGGTGTGGGGTGCCGAAACAGCAGAGCAAGGGATCTTCACGGAAAAGGCAGACTAGTTTCACGCCAGTGGTGAGTTCGGCGCTGAGGTGCCTCCCGACCTCTCGACCGCCATAGATCTGCGAATCCCATGCGGCTCCGACCAATCCGGTGTCCAGACGCCCGTTGACCAGTCATGACACATCAGGCCAACCGGCCAATGGCGCGCCCCTGCGGCGGGGACCGACGCTCCAACGGGCCGCCGAAGCGGCGCCACAGACGGACAGCGCGGTCTGCGGTCGCGGATGCTGGCTGCCTGACGTGGGGACAGTCATGGCCGGAATGCAGGCTCTTGTGAACGCGTGCCCCCACGGTTTGGCGCCCCTGGACGCCGACCAAGCAGCGCACTTTCTTCTGGGCGTGTTGTCCTCTGCGCGTTTCACAGAGGCGGCCTTTGAAGCTTTCTTGTCGAGGGAAGCGAAGGAGGGTGGCTGAGAGGGGGAGAGGCAGCCGAATTGCCATCCGGGCCTTGCGGCCGTCGATCGGTTCTGTGGAACGCATTTGGCGGGGCGCCGCTTCAGGGAGACCGTGCTTGATGGCAGCCCGGGGGATGGCGAGCGGGAGGGCGTGCAGCCTGGCTGGGGAGGTAGCGGGTAGAGATTTGTATAGGAGCGCGAGAGTGGCGCAGGCGGCCAGGTGCAATGACGCAATGGCCGCGCGGCAGAGGGAGGCAGCGGCGGCGGGCGGCGATGATGCGGCCGGGTTGTCCTCGAGGGCAGCGATTCTGGGCAGCGGCGCCCTGGCCGCCGCGGCGATCGGATTCATCCCTCCGGCTGTGGCCATCGAGGGGATCGACTTCTCGCCCGAGTCGCTGGCCGGGATCGACATTCCCGGCCTGATCGCGGCCAACCCCAACGGCGCGGGAATTGCAATCATTGCCGGCCTGTTGGGCCTGAAGCTGGTGGCAATCGCGGCGCAGGGGGTGGGTGGGCGCGCCAAGGCAGTGCGGCCATCCGCGCTGGCCCAGATCGTCAAATCGTCCCCGCGCGTCGCGGTGGTCGACATGCGACCCAGGGCCGGGAGGTCCGGCGGGCCGGACTGGGGCAGGTACGGCAAGCGGGCCGCATCGATTCCGTACTCACCCGCCAAGGGGAATGGCGTGGACTCGAATTTTGGGCGGAGGGTGGCGCGGCTGCGTGGCGTGGGGAACGGCGCCATGGTGGTGCTGGTCGACGCGGACGGCACCTTGGCACCATCGGCCGCCAGGGAGGTCCTCAAGCTGCCCGGGATCGGCTCCGTCCGCTACATCAAGGTGCGATCCCTCCCAAGCCAGCCTTCCCAGGGCTCCCCCCTCGCTCCCCGCCCCCCGCGCGCGTCCCCTAGGGCTTGAATCCTCCCCAGCGATGCGGGCCCAAATCCCAAACCCTGATGTCGCTGTGAAAATTGCTGATCACCCCCCAAACTTGGCTCGTGTTTTCCTCAGGGGGGAGCGGAGGGCTGGAAGGCGTCGGGCATGCCGTGGCGCTCTGGCCTGGCCCTCCCGTCCATCACCCTGCCTTCTGTGAGCGTGGACGGAATCGCGGAGTCCTACCGCGCCAACCCCGGCGCCTACAACCTGGGCCTCGGCGCCGGCGTGGCGGCCATCTCCACCGCGCTGCTCATCAGCGAGCTGGATGCCCTGCTGGAGGTCGTGGGCCTGATCGGCTTCGCGCAGCTCTTCCTGCGCAACATGGTGTTCGCCGAGGACCGCAAGCAGGCGATGGGCAAGCTGCGCGAGATCAGGGATGAGAAGATCGCCGTGGGCAGCGCAGGGCAGGATCTGAGGCGGCTGGCCAGCGCCGTGCTGGACGGAAAGAAGGGGCGGCCGTATGCGCAGGCGGGTGCTGCGGTGGACGGGGTCAAAGGGTCCGACGATGCCCCAGGGGTCAGTTCGGTGACAGATGCCAGTACTTCGGCAGCGGGTAGCGCGCAGTGAGGCGGTTCCTTTGAGGGTTCGTTTGTGAGGGTGGGTGACAGGTTGTGGACACCGGTTTGCTCGAGCGAAATGGTGAGCGGACGGCTGCCTCCCCGCCTCGATGTGTGAGAATTCTTGGTGATGGTGATGAGGGTGTGTGATTGTGTCCATTCTCCTCGAGGACGAGACGTTTCTTTTCGTTCCTTGTTTGAACGGAGGAATGGAAAAGAGGATGAGAGATTCTTTTCGTTGCTTGTTTCAAGCTGAGGGATGGAAAGCAGAGGTGGCCTCCGAGCGCGGCGTGTGTTTGTCCGTCTGCTTGTATCGCTGCCTTACTAATGATGGTTGTCTTTTAATGAATGGAGAACAAAAGGAGGGTGGGCAGCGCATTGCGTTACAGAACTAAGGCTGGAGACAACGCGGCGAGGATGCACGTGGTACAGGAGGGCCGTTGGAAGAGGGGCGTGGCGTGATGCGCAGATGTGTGGCCTGCGAGGGGTTTTGCAGTGCAGGGGATTGCTAAGCACCAATTGAGGGACCTGTCGAGCGAACAAGACACGTGTAAATGTTTCGAGCAATGGCCATATGCCCAACTTGGGATGTCGCGAAGGCTGCTTGGCTGGCACAGAGTCCAGCGCCCCGGGCGGCCTTCACCGCACCTTGGCCACTGGATGGGCAACCTTGGCGCGTCTACCCTTGGCTTCGTCTTTTTCAACTCCAGATGACCTGGATCACAAGCGAAGCCAAGAATGAAGAGATTAATTCTGATTGGTGTTCGATCGTGCAGATTCGGGGTGTTTTTTGCCACGTGTGCTTTCAGGTTGGCGGCGTCAACTTGGCGCTAGGTGGAGCGATATGTCTCTGGGGATAAGCGAAATTTGCTGATTCACATTGGGCCACTGAATTTGGGCAAGGAGCGACTGATGCCGTACTTCACAACAGTTGAACGCAGTTAGCGACTGAAGGACGACGCAAGCATCGATGACACCAGGATACAAACACCATATCGATGAATCGTATTCTTCGTTCCACATCCGCTTTGTGGTGTTACCGCCGAACAATGGCCGCGAATGGGGGCATTAAAGCGAAGTTGCAAATCCTGGCATACTGCCGCCATCAATGGGCACAAGACCCATTATCTAGTGCACCCTGTGTTGGCTATGCTACAGCAGATGTGATCCCAGATGCAGGCGGGCACCGAGGATAAGGCTGGGAGCCTGTTTCTTCGCTAGTCGCGAAATGCGGATGCAACTGGGGTGGACTCCATCCGGTGGAGGCAGGTGTTTTACAGACATCGACGAGTACACACAATGCAATTTGGGGTGAGTTCCGTCACCAGAACAGGAACATGTTTTTCCAAGGGAGCCCTTGGTGTGAGGCCACGTCGGGGCACGTTTTTTTCTCTTTTTATTATTTTCATTTTATTTGGGCACAGGGGCATTTTTCTTTTCGTCAACTCCAGGCTTTGTCGGGGGCATGATGACAGCGTCGAGAGCAGAGGGCCTGCATTGGGTTTAGGGCTCGTGCGCTGACCGTCCATTGACGGTCAGCACTGCAAAAGAAGGGAAACATACCGACTTTGAACGAGCAACGTCACAAATTCTTTTGGGAAAAGCAGGGGATGATAAAAAGTGCGCCCGAGGTGGGGCTCGAACCCACGACCACCAGGTTAAGAGCCTGGCGCTCTACCGACTGAGCTACCCGGGCGTGACACCCATTGCCATTGACTAACACTTTATGTATTAATTTAGATGTGCAACTCTGCATTCCGCCTCCCAGATGAGCCCAACGTTATACAGATTTTGCAAAATGACAACTACCATCTCCAAAATATATATCTCTCAATCCTCAACTGTCGATTCGACCCGCCCCGTTCCCAGCAGCACACGCTGCCCACACAACCGACACCCCATTTCGCACACTCTGTGTCCCAATCGCTCGCCAGGACCCCGCCCCTTGAGCGCTCATATGCCGGAAACGCAAGCCACACGCAGGTCCCTGTCCGCCCCTGCGCACACCCTCAAAACCCCAGCCGGCTCCCAGTCAGGCAGGCCAGGATCCCCCGGCTGTTACTGGCACTCTCTCCACTCTCAAAGAAGCGCCGCCACCCTCTACTTCCCTTATCCGCAACATCCGCAACTCTACTCATCACCAGCCAACCGGACCTTGCGGCCCGCATCCCAAACCCGCGCAGATCCCGCCACCCCCTGCTCATGACAAACCTTCCCCGCCCAGTACATTCCCCCCAGCAGATCTGCTCCTCCCCGGATCTTGCGCCAAAAAAGGACCACCTTGCTCCGCGCGCGCTGGGCCCATCTTTGGCCACAGCCCCAGGCCGCTCTTCACCGATCCCCAGCGCCTGTTCCGCCTTCCCCCCCTGGTCCCCTCCCCTCCCGCCCGGGGTGTGTAGATCCATGGACGCGCATGTCTGTGGGCCCCGGGGCATGGGGGCGCCGGCGCTGGCCCAGCGCGGGAGCCTGATGGCCGGCAGGCCGTTCGGAATGTCCGCCGGCGGTGGACGATCGGGGAGGGGGCAATTCTGCGGCGAAGTGCGGTGCGCGGGTGGCGGATCGAAGCTGCCGCCTTCGCACGCGCAGTCGAGCATGCGGGCGCTGGAGATGCTGCGGGCGGACGCGGACGTCAACCGTGAGTGCGGGGCTTCGTCAATCGACGGGGAAATTGTGGCGTGGCGGTGGTTGGAAAGAATTGTCTCGATGGGCTGTAGTCGTCGCAGGCGTCTGCTTCTTTGTGTTGGAGTTATGGCTTGCTGGGTGGCAAGGGCGGATTTGATTGCATCCTCAAGGCCCTCTGCGGGCGGCGCCTGTTGTTGGGAAGTGGTTTCCGGGTGTGGATGGGGAAACGAACGCGTGGCGCGGGCTGTGGTTGGATTTCTTAGCGCCATGACTGTGATTGGAGTTTGTGGCGCTGTGGGTGGCAAGTGTTGATTGGATTGCGACCACAGGGAAGGGCACCTGCCGGCGGCGCCTGTCGTTGTGCAACTCCCGTGGTTGTGCCTGGGTTGGGGAACGCGCCGAATGGCTCGTTCCGGCGTTCTGCGTCGGCCCTTGGCTTCAGGTGTTGCCTCTCACGTGAATTTTGGTACGGGGACCGGTGGCCTGTGACTTGCGCCTGGCTGTTCTGCTCGTGCGCAAGTGCGGGGCCCGGACGGCAGCGCTGGTGGGCCACGAGGTGCGGGGAGACCAGGCCGGCCTGCGTCGCTGATTTGGGCTCGAGCAGGGCTCGCGTGGGCATCTCCTGGTGCAACGTTGCCTCATTTGGCTCGAACTAGTTTGGCGATTCATCAACGTGCCGCCCCCAATCAAGGACCAGTCGTTTTCGAAGCTTGAGGGCTTATTCTAGCGAGCAAGGTGAAGCGAGCCCAGCTTCGCCTTTTTCCTTAGTGAGTTAGCTGTTGTGTCGTGTCACGTTTGGCAGTTGCTTGGACTGCTGAATCCCTTGATTGTGAGAAAGGAGCTCCAAACACCACCTCAGAAGGATGTGCGCCCAATGCACCTGGCCTGCCTTCCAGCGGTGGTGCCCACACCATGGCTTGCCCCCCCCCCCCGCATCCCTGACTTTCACCTGCCCTGTGGCTCAGGCTACATCACCCAGAAGCGCAGCAGCATAGTCGCCATCGGCCTCACCATCCACAACACGCCTGTGGAGGTGCGCGAGAAGCTGGCTGTGCCGGAGGCGGAGTGGCCCCGCGCCATCGAGGAGCTCTGCTCCTTCCCCCACATCGAGGAGGCCGGAGTGCTGTCCACCTGCAATCGGATGGAGGTGTACGTGGTGGCACTCTCGTGGCACCGGGGGGTGCGAGAGGTTGAGGAGTGGATGTCACGCGCCAGCGGGATTCCAATCGAAGAGCTGCGCCCTTCGCTGTTTCTGCTGAGGGACAGGGACGCCACAAACCACCTGCTGAACGTGGCGGGGGGGCTGGATTCCCTGGTGCTGGGAGAGGGGCAGATTTTGGCGCAGGTGAAGCAGGTGTACAAGGTGGGGCAGAACTGCAAGGGGTTCGGGCGGCACCTGAAGGGGCTGTTCATGGCGGCGATCACGGCGGGCAAGCGGGTACGCAGTGAGACAACCATCTGCTCGGGGGCTGTGTCAGTGAGCTCAGCTGCAGCAGAGCTTGCACAGCTCAAGCTGCCCACGCACAGCTTCGACGATGCGAACGTGTGCATCATCGGGGCGGGCAAGATGGCTGCCTTGTTGGTGAAGCACCTGTTCTCGAAGGGCTGCAAGAGGATGACGATCCTCAACAGGAGCCTGCCTCGGGCAGAGGCACTCGCTGAGGAGTTCGCTGATGTCGAATTCGACATCCGCCTGATGGACGATTTGATGAGCTGCGTGGAGAAGTCGGACGTGATCTTCGCTGCCTCCTCCTCTCAGGAGATCCTGATCCATTCAGCGGACGTTGCAAACATGCCAGCCCGAGACGCCGTGGTCGGGGGCGTGCGGCGGTTCGTGGACATCTCTGTGCCGCGGAACATCGAGATCGAGGGCCAAGAAGGTGCACACGTATTCAACGTGGACGACCTGGTCGAGGTGGTGGCGGCCAACAAGGAAGAGCGGCGAAAGGCGGCTGAAGGGGCCCAGGTTGGTTGAGTTGCTTATTGTATTGTCCTGTTGTATTGCATTGCTAAGATCTGATTGTTGGCACCTGATTGCAGTGGTTGGATGTTTCACATCTTCATAGTAAGGAGGCTCATGTCACAGTCCCTACCCAGGACAGGGCTGTCCATTGGGCGAGCCGGTGAGGACGACAATCTTCCATTGCACTTGTACGTGAGGCAAGATACTCATCCAACCGCACCAACTAAGGGTGCTTAATTTGGAGTTCCAGTCAATTCCCCAAGCACCAGAAGTTCAAACTAGTGTCAATGTGGTAGAACTGTGCATAACCCATTTATGGAATATAATACCAGAAACATCCTAAGCCCCTTGCTGAGTCGACTGGACACAGGCAGCACACTGTCTCGCATGTGGTGCAAACAGTGGTTGAGCACTGGGGATGCAGACAAGCCACATCAGTGATGTCCGTCCTTGTTGGGCACTTTTCACAGTATGTTTGTTAAACTTATTTAGTTTGTTGTAAATACCCATTTTTTATGCGATTGTATCATTTATCCACATTTCTTCTCCCAATTTCAGCGACTCGCAGAATTCGCTCAGATCGATGCCGATCGCTGCACAGGTGCTCCTGAAGGAGGAGCAGGAGGCCTTCGAGGCATGGCGGGACTCCCTGGAAACGGTGCCCACCATCAAGGCGCTCCGTGGAAAGGCGGAGGCCATACGCTCGGGCGAGGTGGAGAAGGCGCTCAAGAAGCTGGGGGGCGACGACATGACAAAGAAGGAGAAGAAAGCTCTTGAAGACTTGAGCCGAGGCATCGTGAACAAGCTACTGCATGGGCCCATGACTGCGCTCCGGTGCGACGGGACCGACCCCAAGGCCGTTGGCGTCACTCTGGCGAACATGGAAGCGCTTGAAAGGATGTTTGGATTGTTGACCAGTGACATTCCGGAAGCTTCGTCCAGGTGATGCTTGTGGGGGAGTGTGGGGAAGCTGCCACTGCCCGCTTAATGCCTCCTTTGAATTTTTCTGGGCATTTTGAGCAGACATCCGATCTGCAGCCCCAGCAGACTGCTGCTGCTTAGTGCTGACTCTCACAAGAAGTGAGGATGCACGTGCGGCCAGATATCGCCAACGCCATTCCAAGGGAGTGATCTGGTGATTGGTGAAGTCGGCTGACCAGGATGGCATTTGGACGCAGTCTCGCACGGGATGAGTTCCCACCAGCGAGCTGGCTGCTTTGGGCATGTACATTCTTTCTTAGGGGAGGTCCCGGGCTGTGTACGTTGTTTGTTTACCGACTTGTGGGCAGCGTTTAGGTCTCGCCGCCATTGCATGCGTCACACACTTTTTGGCGGGATGGCTGTTTTTGTTGTGTCCACGCAACCGTGGATGTGTGACCGAGGGGCCACTCCACTCTCGTTTTGAATACCTGCCGACTCACGGGGAGTCTGGGGCAGCTGTCAGCTCGTGTGGCATGGTGGCTTGAAGAGACTGTTGCACCATTGGTTCGTTTAGATTAATCTGTCGGGCGACTCGTTGGAATCTGGGGAAGATATACGCACACGTTGGACATTGACGGACACGAAATTCTTGAATCGCAGAATGTGGCTTGCGCGAATTGTGTAGGTCTTCGAGCCTCTTGTGGGGGAAGTCGAACACCGGCCAAGATGCCGGTTGCTGTGCAGCGTGCATGGCATGCATTGTCATGTGCAGTGCGGCAGGATACTGTGCATTCACCAAAGGAGTTTTTCTTTGGCCATCGCGTAGCAATTCTGTTGGCTTGATGGCTGCGAGGCAATCAAGATGGCTGTGCAGAAATTTCAGACGTGTCCACCTGGCCGAGCCTCGGGAACCCACCATCGTGTTTGCGCACAAGGTTTCGCTGCAACACACAGGCGATGCCCCTCACAGAATCCAGTGCCGTTCACCAAACACACATGCCCAAGGCCTGCGTAATCGAACTGCCATCATGACCACATTGTCGATTTTCTTTTCACATAGGGCAGGCTGGCGCGAAAACGTACTCCTGTCCGGGCCACCGTGTCGTCTGATGCGACACAAAGCGCGACCGCTTTTTGCGAAGTGCAGACTGCACCCTGTTAAAGTTGGCCATTTCCAGGCCATAAATGACATGGCAAATGTCTCCATCAACTTCATTTTCCCAGCATCGACCGGCAACATTTCCAGCAGCATCGACTGACCACCATTAGCTACATCATCAAGAGCATCCTACAGCTGAAAATAGCGGCAGCTTGAGGAGCAATCAAAAGACAACAAAACCGACCAGAACTGGACAAGATCAGGCCGCTCAGCGATCACAAGTCCAGAATCAGTTCCCATGTACCGTTTCACTACCCTGCATAATCGACTACGCATCCGCATGCAAGGACCCATCCGACTTTGACGCCCAGCATGGGATAACGACATCCTCTCATATGCCCACAAGCCGTCAAACGACCAGTCCGACATCCAAACACCGTCCAAGACCTCCAAAACGGCAAAAGCGCATAGCAGCGCTTCCCTGCATTCTGACCATCCTGCATCGCGAGCCCCGCCTCCCAGTCCCACTGCCCAGCAGCTGGTTGGCGGTTTCCCGGCAGCCATGACGGCAACGCGATTCCGCCAGGTCGAAAGCTGGCGCTTTCTGATCGACCAGTGGCTCGCCCTTGGCGACCTCTGGCTCTCGAGATGGTATCTCGAGAAAGCGGACTGCCCGGAAGGGTACTGGAGCTTCGGGCTACAGTCATACTGCCGTTCAGCGCCGAGGACGAGCAGTGGCTGCATCACCAGCGGGATCACGGCGAGGACGCCTTACGCTATCAGCTGCAGGAGCAGGCGCGTGAGGCGTACGAGCACACAGAGTCAACGCAACTGACGTCAGGACATCTGCCAGGGCCAGGGGAGAAGCCAGACTGGAACCCTGACTACAAACCGGAGGCCGTGTACCGCCCCTGGACCCTCCAGGTGCATCCCCATCCGCACCGGCCGTACACCGACATGGGTACGCAGGCCTTTCGGCAGCAGATCGCCACGATGATCGAGCGTGAGGGTGGTCGAGTTGAGGCCTGGCGAGGCGCCGAATTGAATTACTACAGGCGCGAGGTACACATCAGCCTCGACATCAGCGTGCCGTTCTCGGACGCGAGATGTTGGCGCATGGAGGGTGGAGGCGTGACCCGCCGCGAGTACGCAGCGACGCATCCATCACGAGCGTCTGAGGTCTTCCCGCGGGGAAAGAAGGACTTCGGGATCCAAACTGAACCGAACGCCGCCGTACTGCCCTCGGCAGCCTTCGCGGAAGCCAGCGCGATCGTGGCGCGACGACTCAACGCGGGCAAACCGCCGTACACGGACGTCGAGGTACGCGTGGAGGAGCGCGCTTGGCGGAGGGCCATCCGGCGTCAGCGCCGGGAAGCGCGGGCGCGTGGTCAAGCCCCGGATGACGTCATGGTGGATGCGCCCCGCGAGGAGCCGCCTACGGTACTGGCAACCATCGGCACTGCCGAGGTGATGACACCTGCCCTGCCACCCGGTTTTGATGGGGCGCGCAACGAGAGGGTGATGACGCCATCGCTGCCACCGGGATTCGGTGGCTGAAGAACGCAGACTACTGAAAATCGGTAGACGGGGCGGCGATCGTGACGGGACGAGGTGCACGCTGGCGGATGACGCGATGACTGGAGGCCGCCTGAAGCCAGCTGGCGCGTCTGGAGCTGTCCAAGAGAATCTCTGGCGGAGGAGGAGTGTGTGGGGGTCTGGCTGGCATGCGACTGTACGGGGTGGACTGTAGTGGAATGTGTGACTGATTGGGTCTTTTCTTGTCCGGGAGTGCGAGTGGACTCGGAAGGGTGACGAGAGGGGTGAACCAATGAGGGACAGCTATACCAAACAAACACTCCTGTAATAAAAAGCCGCGGGGAGTCTGTCCAGGCAGCTCTCCGGCAGGCCTCTGTGTGACTATCCCTGTGTCCCAGCCGCCTGTACCTCCCACCGTCGCGCCACAGCCCCCCGCCGGCTCGACCGCTCACCGGTCTTGCCCTCTTGCGGTACCCGCGTGTCCGCAAGCCGGCCTAAGGAGCCCCGAGGCTCTGTGGCGTCTCTCACACTCCCGCTGAGTGTTGAGTAAGACATTCGTGGGATCCGGAGTGACTGAGGGCGGCGCATTACGCAAGGCGAGCGCCGTCGCTGGTGTTGGAGTGCCGTAGCACCCTACGGGAGTGCGGATCGGCCGCTACGCGCAACGAGTGGACGCGGTGAAGACGTTGCGTCATACGGAACTGGTGGAGACCTCTGCGGTGAGGTGCGAGATGACTATGAGCTTTCCGGGATCGCCCATGGAAGGGGCTGCCGTCATGGCGGCGTTGGCTGGCGTTGTCGGACGGGGTGTGAGGTTCCTGGGCGCTGGCATCCAGTGGATTGGGGACCTCTTGGTGACCCTACTCGGGTGGCTGGCCTGGATGCTTAAGATTGATGAGACGAAGACGGATTCAATTATAGGAGCGGTCAGAATGGTTTACAATGGCCTGGCCCTCCTCATTTTGTTCAAAATGACTGCCGCCATTTTTTGCGCAATGGGGCAACTTCTGCATGGTTTCGGAGCCGAGGTAGGCTCGTTGGGAAGGGATCTGATGCTGCATGGAAGGACAAGGAGGCGCAGAGCTGCGTGGACCAAGAAGATCTCATTCTGGTTCATGTTCTTAGTTATCATGGGAATGGCAACGGAGGCGACTGCATGGTCAATGTATGAAGTACCTGCGGCGAAGGAGGCATTGAAAGCTGAAAAGAACCATCTGTACACTGCCCAGAAGGGGGCACTGGTCCATCAGTCTGTCTGGGATCGAATGGCGTCTTTTTGGTGGGAGAGGCTGGTCAGAAACGACGATGACGTGGAAACGGATTTGCCTCCCAGTCCGCCAGAAGGCTATGGACAAGACTTCAAGAGCTGTGGGACAATTCGATGCAGTTTCTATGCACTCCAGGATCAGGCGATTGATTTGCTGATTGATGCCATCACGAATCCAAGGAAGATGTTTGAAAGGATACAGGATGCTGGAGTGTACGTCCTGAAGCATGGCCTACCGTGGTGGAACGAGATCTTGGGTCTACTGATCCTATGGGGTTTGATCAATCTTTCGTCAACGATCTGGATGCGGATTGAAGACATTTTTCATGCGATATACCGATGTGGATGCGCTTTTTTCCAGTCGCCGGTTTTCATTCTGTTTGGAAGATGGAAGGCCACTATCAAAGAGATGTGTGATGAAGGAAAGGAGTCAGAGGATAAGAAGGACAACAAGAAGAAGGCAAACAAGAAACAAACTACTGTGGTGAAAGCTGGTGGGAAAAGTGTGAGAAAGGAGAAGGAGGGAGCTGGAGAAGTCAGTAGTTCTGACCAAAGTAGTGATGAAGAGAAGCCAAGGAGGAGCAAGCAACGAAGGGAGAAGAAGCAGGAGAAGGAACAGGAATCCCAGCAAACGGCTGCAATCAAGGAGCAACCCGCAGCAGCTGTCAAACTGGATGATGAGCGAATCTCGGAAATGATCGCCGAAGGCGTCAAGAAAGCTCTACAGAATCAGGAAGCAACTGCGAGAAGGAGCAGGGCACCTACTCCCTACAAACGGCTGTGGTGCGATTTCTGCAAGAGTCCAACACATGACATTGAGTCATGTGCTACAAAGCAGCGGATTGAGCGATATAACCGGACTAAGGAAAGAGCCCAGAACGAGCCATCAACATCAGAGGACAAGGGGAAGGAGGTGGCCAAGGTGTCGTACATCGATCAAGGCAGTACAACGACCACTTTACTCTATACTCCAGCAGAGGTGGATGGACATCATTTTCGGCGCTGCATGATTGATACGAGAAGCGAAGTTAACGTCATGCCTCTTCGGGAAGCTGTCAAGAGAGGGATTGCCCATAACCCAGGGGCTATTACACAAATTATCGGCTTCAATGGCGCTACGTCA